TCCCAGGGAGGAATTACTTTCCTTACATGACTCCATCTGTAATACAGTGACTATAGGACAAGTTTGATATAACACAATTTCACACTATATATAATTAGGGAGTCCCCGCTCCATGTCGTCATCAGTCTGGGGGTCCTTGGCCTGGAAAACGTGAAAGACCCCTGGTCTAAAGGAATCATGTTTGCACCTCTTTCAACCGCAGATTTTTACTGAGTTCTTCCCTTGCCCCCTTATGTCTTTAATAAAGGAATCATCTCAATGAACTAGGTACTATTGTCTCACTACCCATTTTTAACAGAATAAATTAGAGATCTAATCTTAAGGAATGCAAGGTTAATCTCTCTCTTGTCAGCTCTTGTTTTGTCAGCAGCAGGAAATGTTTCTCTTTGTGTTTTTAAGCAACATTTTTTTTTCCTAGTTTCGTCTCCCTTAGTTTTTTTTTTTTTTTTTTTTTGAGCTGCAGTCCTTAGCCCGAGGATTTTAACTTGGTTCCATTTCCAGTAAACAAGATACTTTTATAAAAAAAAAAAAATATGGATAACATTAGTAACTATTGCTACAGCTGATCCCTACGTTTGTTACTGAAAAAATATTATGAGGAAGTAAAACTCCATATAGGAGACTGAATTCCCCCCCACTGTTACAGGAGATATTTAATTTAAGATTGGTACATTTTCTCTAGTTACCCTGCTATAAGCGAAAGCTTTAAGAGGGTTCCTCTCTGCCAGTGAGTGGACCATGAATCTGGGAGATTTCTTAGTCAGAGCACACTGCTATCCCTCCCTCTGTTTTGTCTTAACTCCCAGGTAGTAAATTATCCTTAGCAGTGCTCAGTGCAGTGTTGTAATTTAAGGTAATGTCTTCCTTCTTCCTACATCCTGATACTGACAAAAAGTTTCCTATTTTACATTGATTGCTACTGATGTGTAATGAGCTGCAGACTCCATGTGACTAAAATATTTCCACGTCTTGCCCTTATTACATTGGTGATGAAACTTAATACTGGCTATCCTGTTTTTTTGGCTGTTTGTTTAGAACATTGCACCCATCTACTGCTCTTTTTCCCTGAATTACAGTTGTGTGAACTTCTAGAGCAGATGTTCTTTTAAAGGTCCTCTTATTGCCTTCTTTAATTAGGATTTTTTCCAGAAATTGTGTCCCTTTTATATGAACTTTCTAAACACAAAAGTAATATTTGCAATAATGATGAGAGATCTCCTGTTAGTAAACAGAGAATCTGTAATTGCTTGTGGTCCAAGGACATTTTCCACAGGCTTTTTTGTGAGATGGAGCTGCAGAAGTCAAATTAAAATGACATCACTTATACCCTTTTATTTGTGAATGGTCAGTAGCTGTTTTTTGTTTTTTCCAAGCACAACCAGAAAAGCTTATTTTGTGGATTTCCAGTGTCCCAATTACAAAGTTTAAATCTGAAAATTTGGTTATCCCACAGTACAGCGTTTTTTTTTATTTGTGGAATTTTCTTCTACTGCTTAGATGATTCTAACTTTGTATTCCATATTTATTTAGGATTTCAGTTTTTTTATTCTATAGTCTTAGAATATTTTTTTTAGTTTTGTAGAGAAAAAACTAAACTGTATGCATTATTGCTATACTGTTAACACACCTAAATATCTTCCCACTCTCTCTCCCACTGTGAGATGTTTAAGAATTTTTGCCATGCCTTTCATTATTTCATTACAGAGTTCATAAGTGCAGCTCCTGCATTGCTTTTTGGTACAGGACGCTCCAGAACAACGACAACACCCACCTTACACACATTCTTCTAACATTTTTCTAACCTGTCAGACACACTGGAAAAAACCAAAATCTAGATAAGTCATTTTTTCTTAAAATATGTACATTTGTTTGTGGATTGAGGAGGTAAAAGAGATTTTTTGCCAATGGAACAAGACAATTTACATTTAAAATAAGAAAACACAGTTGTATTGTCTTATTTCGAGTGCATGTTATTTAATTAACTTATTTTAAGAGTAAAAATACTCATTGAATGGGCAACATATCTTATTTACCTGCTCAAAGTAAGGGTAAAAACACTTAATTTAAGAAATTTGTACTTATTACTAGATCGTTTTTACAGTGCAGATTTTCCCCTGCACTGCAAAAAACATCTAGAAATAAGTCAAAATGTCTTAAATTAAATGTTTATACCCTTAATTTGAGTAGGTAAATAAGATTAATTGCCAATGGGATGAGGATATTTACTCTTAAAATAAGATAATTAGATAACATGCACTTGAAATAAGACAATACAACTGTGTTTTCTTATTTTAAATGTAAATTGTCTTGTTCCATTGGCAAAGTGTCTCACTTACCCCCTAAATTCAAGAAAAAATGCACTTATTTTAAGAAAAAATGATTCATGTAGATTTTGATTTTTTCAAGTGTGCACAAATCATTTATAAATTTTAATTGTTAAACGACCAAAAGCAGTACATAGACTGCCTGACAATATCTTAGTTTATATCACAAAAAACTCACTGTCAGTTTCATAATGTGCTTTGCACCATGGTCAGTATTTTTGTATTTTATTTTGGTTGTTGTTGCACTTTGCAACTACTTGTACGTTATTGTGTTTGCATGTGCCCATTATGCACCTTTAAAAACAGTCTGCTTGTCATCTTGTTGCATTCTAAATCATAATCTCTGTATCAAAATAGTTGTTAAACCTGAATTTTCTGTTTAATGACAACAGGAACCTTTCTGTGCTTGCAGTTATGACAGTTAAGGATTAATATACAGTATAATTCAAAGGTGCAAGAGTGAACAAACTGGTATCACTACTCTCAACAGCTAGCGTGATCCACCCTACAGGAATGAGGAGGGGCAATACTTCCTATTTCCATGTTTCTGGATCTGTCCACCACAGATCCAGCTTTTCTTAGTTAGCAAACATTGTCAGAGTAAAGTTATAGATAAAAGGAAGGTTATTAATGAGAATGACACAGATACTTTTGAACAAGGGGTACAAAATATTTGTTTTAGCACCAGATGTGTTGGTAGTTTATTAATGTATTGGTGTTGCTGAAAAGTGAAACTGAGCTGACATTAACAACCTATTTTATGATCCTGAGTTTCAGTTTATGCAGGTATTATATCATTTAATTTATTATATAACCATAAATATCAGTTTTATAATAATATTTAGGGCTGGGTAAAAAATCAATTTAATCAATTTTGAATCGATACCTTTACAAATTAGCAAAATCGATGTTAAGGGAATGAGATTGGTTAATTTCATAGTGACCCACATGACGTTCACATTCAAATAAGCAGGAAAGATGCACTCAAGATGACTTCAAGCCAGCTGCAAATATACCCAATAGGTTGACTGAAGACATTAACAAATGGGGGCTGACCAGAAAACACCCTGTAGTTGTTATGACAACGCTGCAAATACTGTATGGTTTGTGCTTAGGAGATAATGCAGCTCATGCATGTCTGCTGTGTCACGTCTGCTTGCTGGAGTGAGGATTCACTTTTTCACTTTTAACAAACAAGTTTGCACTTTTGAGACGGTTTTGTTTACATCTAATGTTTAAACTGTCTGATTTACAAGTTTGCACCTTGTGTTTAATGTGACAAGAAAAAACAAAATACATATAGTATTTTGAAACACAGTTGAACCACTTTCATTATTGTAAAAACAGATCGAATCGCAATTAATCGATTTAGAACTGTATGAATCAAAATCGAATCGATTCAGGACTTTGGCCAAATACCCAAAATCCACAGTCTCTGCTCAGAGCATCCACACTTCTAGATAAACAGGAGAGAGAAAGGAAGACTTACTTCCCTCTTTGACCTCCTTCCAGCGGAACTGGTGTCTCCGGACCACTGAGAAGACGGAGTCATAGCCGTCCTCTATGATCTTCTTTAAGGCCTGCTGTAAGTGGGACGGGTGGAGGCAGGGAGATGTGCACTGGATGTGACAGACCACATCTACCTCTGTAAACACAAAGTGTTTCCCATATTACAGGTTGGCTCATAGCCTGGTAATGTTGTGATGCTTCAGTCACATTGATGTTCTGGAGTAGCTTTCATGCCTGTGTTGTTCCTGAGGAATTCCTGGATGGTTTCCACCGATGAAGAGCAATCTCTGGAGACCTCAGGACTTCTGCGGTGGACTTTGGCACCCCAGGATTTGGCCACTTTTTCAATTTCATCATGATCTGTTGATACCCAGACACTGGGAAAATAAAATAGAATACCCGCTCAATTCTGCTATCAACATGATTCTTTTCTTAAATGTAGAGTTACTTTCTTTTTCTCTCTGTATTAATGATATTAATATCATCAATATCATGATATCCAAATGCCAAAGAAATAATAATCTTGACCAAGATACCATGAATCGATACAAATAGCATTTTTTTAAAGGATCATTTCATTCATTATTGGGAAAAATTGTGATAGACAGACAGTCAGTCTGCTGGGTGTATGAATAGCTTAATCTGTACATATCAATGAATAAATACATTTTTTTGTGTGTTTCGTTGTAATTATATAGTAGGAAAAAACTGTGGAAACATTTGAACATCAGGTTAGAATCTTAAATTATTTATCTAAACTTAGATATTTGTTTTGATCTGTTGCTTGTTTATTTAAATTGTCTTATTTGTTTCTATCATTAGAAGCTTGGGGAGTAGATGTTTCAAACAATTTCATTTTTTTTTAAATTAGAAAATCATGTGAAAATGAGGGTTGACTTTTTATGCAATAACTCCTAGCAACTGAGAAACACGGTTAAGGGTGTGTCATGGTTTGAAGACAAATCCCTCAGTCAGGAATCTGGTTCAGGTTGTTCTTGGTCAACATTAGTTAAGTAAGGGCATTCTGTTTGAATCAGGAATTGAAGTCAGCAGTAAACAACAGAATCAACACAATGGCATGAATGTCAGACATAAAGTTTGATTTTATAATGCAAAAAGCTGTTACAGCCCTCAAACAACAACTATAATATGAGCAACAGTTTATGAAATTCATAAAAACCTAAATATAAGGCAGCTTTTTCAATCAGGGTCATTTAAAGTAAAACCAGGATTTTAATGCATTTAGATATTTTTCACATCTCCTCATGCGAAAAATAATCAATTTGAAAGATTTGTTTCTTTATATCTCTTCGTTCTATATCCAGAGGCGTAGCTAGAAAATTTTTATAAGGGTGGCCAGGCATTAACCAATGTACACTGAGGGGTGGCTGAAAATGGATAGGCGGCAGAACCTCAGGGTCAATCTACTCTGATCCAACAGGAAAAATAACAAGCAAAACATCCATATTAGCTAAATAAAGGCTAACTATACTTTCCTACAGCCTTTTTCTAAAAAAAAATAGATGCATATATTTAAACATCCGTGCTTTCCAGATAAAAGGTATAGTGGAAACAATTCTTTCAGGTTAGACTTCTGGGGTGAACATCTTTTCCATTATCATTACTTTTCTACTTTTATCAATAATCATTATGCATAAAATTGACATTTACAAGTAATATCTGCATAAATTGATTATTTAATACGCTTTTACTATAATAGTTAACTATGATTTCACTGAAGACTCCTTGATAGTTTGCAGAGACACATCATTTTCTCTTTACCCCATATAACACAAAATCTATTTCTGAAAAGAGCCGGAATTCTGTGCTTATCATCTTTAATTTTAGTACATTGATGTGGATAATTAACAACAATGTTTTTCTTGTCAAGTAAATGTTAATGTGTGAAAAATTTTATTGTTTTGAATATTCCACTTTAGAGTATTACTGCTGCCATCATCTGTATTAAAGGGGAAAAAATGGTAGATGTGGCCACAGGAGTGGCCAATGATTGCCCCCCCATCTAGCTCCGCCCCTGTCCATATCCCCTCAGCTGAATACATTTAACATCATGGTGCCATTTTCTGTCCTAATTTAAGGAATGATGACTGGCAGAGTAATGCAATCTGTACTTTATAGGTCAGGCAGTAATTTAAGTAAAATAAATTAGTTTGATCTTTGTATGTTTTTAAATGTTTTATTATTTTAAAGCAGCATATATAGTATTGTATTACCTGTCAAACATCTCTGAGTCAATAGCCGCTCTCAGCACCCATCCAAGAAGCGGGACCCCAGCCAGCATCTTGATGTTCTTTAGTGGGATCCCTTTGCTTCCCCCTCTAGCCAGGACCAGAGCGGCCAAATGTCTCCCCTCAGCCTTTTTGGATCTGCTCCCATGATCCTGCTGACCGTTTTTCTCGCGGGGTCCTAGATTTCTTGCAGCCATTAGGAGCTCACTGTGATTAAACAGAAATGGGTCCTGGATCAGCTCTCAGTGGTGCACAGTCACCTTTGAAAATGCCTTAAGGGACCAGAGAGGCAGCTGCGGGGCTTGTTAAACACGGAAGGATAATACGTGTCATTAAACCGGTGCATCCAGTGTGATGGACTGACCCACCCCTTAGTACAATACACTGACAGTCACCACATGCATTAAGCCAGCCCTAACTTCCTTCTATAAACAGGTTTGCACAGAGCTGCTTCTGAAATGTTGCCAAGTGCATAATCTCACCCTGATAAGACATCTATTTACGCACTTACCCACTATTTGACCCCTTGTTTGCAATCACTGCTTGGACACAGTAGTTCAGCTATGAAGCTGCAAAAAACAAAACAAAAAATCAGTGTGAATTTTTCACTTTCAGGAAAGACTTAAAAATTGTGGTGTTCAAGTCAAAATAGCATTCCCTTGGGAAAAATTGTTTCACTAAAAAATAGTTTATGATGCCTTTTATGATGTAGAGAACAGATTTCCTCTCAACACAATCATTGCATCGATCTTTCTCCTTTAACTACTTTACTCCAATACAATTTGTTGTCAATCAAGGCGAGAAATATGCGTTCTTGCTGTGCGTTTAAAACTACCTGAGGGGCATAAAGAAATCAGCAAATAACTCAAATTCTATTTGAGAGCAGGTGTAAAGGAGCCAGAGGGCAGGATATTCAACAATAACAAAACAATGCCTTTCAAATCTTGATTAGCAACATGTTCTTTAGCTTAAGCTCTGAGGCATTAAACATTTAACATTTTTAGAGGTGTTCATTTTGAGGTTCTGAGTTCGAAACCCAAAGACTGTTACCTGGGCGCTCCATGATGGCAGACCACTGCTCCCCAAAGGGGATGGGATAAATGTAGAGGTAAATTTCTCCAATGTGAGATCAATAAAGTTTAATTGTATTAATAGTATTATTATTATCATATATCTTAAGACAGTTTTAGATTCCCCCAACCTGCAGGAGAGGAAAAACTGATCCTAATCTAAGAAGTCTAAGAAGTCATGCTTGAACTCTGACCTTAAACCAACTTTCTTTCTTTAGTGGAAGCCTGTGCTTCTCTACCAGACCATGTCAGAGCATTTGCTGCTGATAATACTGGTTTTAACCAATGGGATGATGAGTATGAATATGTATTTCCCTCAATTAGTCTCTCTCCTGCAGTGGATCAATGGCGTAACGACCCAGAAAAACTGTTGTCCTTCCAAGTTTCACCACTAGGACATTTTAAAGGCTTGGGGAAGAAGGCCTTGTACACTAGCTGTGTGAAGGTTCTGAACATACGTTCTCTGGCAGATGTGAGGGTGTCGAGGTGGACTGAGTTTTTTGGCACCGGCTCTACCCCGAGAGGCTGTTGGCGATCCCTGTACAAACCCCCGATTAAAAACGAGTGGGTGACCTCCAGTGGAGGATTGTACATGGGGCAATAGCTACAAACCG